GCAGCTCCTGCTCGTGCTCTTGCCAATAATGCCGAAGGGAGGCAGGGGCTGCAGCTGCAGCTCCTGCTCGTGCTCTTGCCAATAATGCCGAAGGGAGGCAGGGGCTGCAGCTGCAGCTCCTGCTCGTGCTAATGCCAATAATGCCGCAGGGAGGCAGGGGCTGCAGCTGCAGCTCCTGCTCGAGCTGGCGTGGGAACAGGCCAGAAATAGCCTGTTCTGAAACCCAGTTTTCGTGCCTGAATATTAGGGCAGGTCGAAACAAATGAGGGCCTAAAAATAGCCCAGGGCCTAAGAATAGCCCTCCGTTTCAGGCTGGAAAAACTCTGGAGACCCAGAAATAGGCTGAAACGGAGTAGGGCCTGCAGGCCCTCGTTTTTCAGTTTTCAGGCTGAAACGACCGGGGCCTGTAGCTCCTAAGTTTTAGGCTTTAAGGCTGAATGTCCGGGACGGGTCCTAAAGGGCCCGTGTGGCTACGCAGTCTGCCACAGGATACTATGAAACTAGCTTAGTGCCCGCAGCGCGGACGGTGCAGGCAATACCCGCATAAGAGAAAAAGTTCAAAAAAAGGACACAATGTTCATTGGTGGGATTTGAACTCGAGGCAGTTCGCGGGTGCAACGACGGAGCTAGCCCCATTGGTGGCCCATGCCAATTTTTGTGAACGGGCTCGAAGGACGGAATTGGTGGACAAAGCCCTAGCGCGTTTTCTTTTTCTTTTTTTGTCTTTTTCGTCGATGTGCATGAGGGTCCGCGGATTTTTCATTTAATTTTCTTTTGTCTTCAAGCAAGTTCGCAATCAAACGATCTGTGCGTACTACGTAGAGATATTCAGCTCAATGGACGACCCTCGTGAAAACATGAACTGACTTCCAGGGAAAAGCTATGCGCACGTTTCTCGGCGCACAATGAACAGTTTGTTACGAAAGTTCACCAAGCGATTTCAAGGCCATAGATCAAGGCGATCCAACGGACTTCCATCGAAAGTGAATTCTATATTGGTGTGCAGCTTGTCATGACCATCCCCTTGTGGCCCATGCTCCTTAAGGGTTAGGATAAAACTGAACAAGTTTGGCACATGCCGTACAGGCATTTGCACAGAAGAAAAAGGACAACTTGGGCGAGAATCACTTGAGTGCCAAGGTGGAAAACAATCTGAGCATATTTGCGGTGATGCACCTTAGTCACAGGCACGGGAGACAGAACAGGATCGACAGACTCAAGGGAAGTTCAAATCTAACTATTTTGGCATTATAGGTACGACAAAGTGGGAATGCGAGCTTGTCTCATATAACTGGGGTTGTCTGGTGAAAATCGCCAAGGGGGAGGAAGGGGAGAGCGGAGGAGAGGGGAGGGGAGGGGAGGAGCAGGGAGGTGAGCGGCAGAAGGTGGAGATGTGATGAACCGACCAAACACGGACTGAGACACACAGCTGATTTCCGAGTTTTGCTCATGGACTGAATGCCTTGCTGAGTTTCCCACTTGCTACTAAGTTCTGCATGTCTGTGTGTGCGTACGCTTGCTTGGTCTGCATGTCTGTCCGAATGCTGGGTGGCTTGAGTGTGTGTGTGACCCGCAAGGGCACCTGTTCGTTTGTTGGACCCTCAGGACCAGTACTTACCTGTGGCCGTGACATTGAGGATTGCAGAGAGGGAAAACACTCGAGTGGCGGGGGAAGAGGCCTGCGACACTTGAAGCAGCGGGGGAAACACTCAAGTAGCAGGAAGGCCAGTACCACACCCGGAAAGGTAGATGTGGCGGGTACTCAAGGCCGAGCAGAAGAAGACAAAAGTGGCATTTCTTAGAGGCCCAGTAGTTGTAGGCTAGGTCTAGGCGGGTACCAGTCCAACCAGTCTGAGTCTAGGGCCTGTACGGGCAATATCAGAGTCGGCAATGATGTTTCCCTCCGAAAGGGAGGAGGTACCGGTTGCTTGGAAGGCCGAGCGGCCTGGAAGTCACCGCCCGAAGAGGCAAGCAGGCCGCTATATCTCCAGGCCGGGCGAAGAGCCCAGCCTCATTGTCGGTGTGCAAGTTTGGCGACACACTGGTTGGAGCGCTGGCTAGCAAGAGCAGCGCTGCTGGGGAAGGAGCAAGGACACGGAGGAGGAAGACAAGCAGGAGGAAGGGGGAGCGCCAGAGGTACTTACCTGGCTATGGTGGCAGCCAGCTTCATCACCTTGTTGGGCGGTGCAGCAGGGAGACCCCAGCTGGGGGAGAGCTACGCCAAGAAGCTTCGAGGCAGAGTCAGGCATGGCGGCCTGAGCTAGAGCAGCCATAGCTGCTTTGCGTTGTCCTTTGCACAGCAGGGCAAGGCCCAAGTAGTCCGCCATAGCCTCGGCCTATGAGAGTGAAGAGTGAGGGAGGCGCCCATGGCTATGGTGGTCCTCGAGTGATACCTGCAGTAGAAGAGGAACTCGGACATGGATTCTGGATCAGCCATTCAACATTGTACTATTATTTCTTGTGTGAATAAGAGAGGAGTAAAGGAGGAGGAGAGTGTTGGGCGAAGAAGAAGAGCTTTGTCATTTGTCTATGCTGGTGTACATCATCTTCTTCTTCTTTCTTTCTTTCTTCTTCTTCTTCTTACCCTCTCTCTCCTCTCAAGTTCATTCATTTCTTTCTGCAATTGGACGGCATTATACTATCTGATGAAGGTGCATCTCGAAATTGCCCAGGATCATAACAGAGAGGAGGAGAGGGGAAGGAAGCGGGGAGCACGGGAATGAGAGGAGAGGGAAAGGGATGGAAGGAATGCGGACAGGAAGAAATGGGAGAGAATGGGAGGGGATGGGACTGGAGGGGAGGTGACAAGAGGTGAGAGGAGAGGATCGGAGCCAGATGGGATCCATAGCTGCAATTGAATAGACAAAGAGAGCAGGATAGACCTCCCGATTGACCCACACTTAGGGGCTCTTTTTCACATCAGTGTTACGATCCTGGCCAATTTTGGAGTACAAATTCATGAGAAAGGACAATGTCGTCCAATTGCAAAAAGAAATGAATGAGCTTGAGAGGAGAGAGAGGGAAAGAAGAAGAAGAAGAAGAAGAAGATGTACAGCAGCAAAGACCAATGATAATCCCCCTTCTCCTCGCCAACCAAAGTCCTCCTCCTTTTCTTCTCCCCTCTTATTCAAACAATAAATAATAATAATAATAATGATGAATGGCAGAACCAGAATCAATGTCCGAAAAGGACTCCGAATCCCTCTTCTACCGCCAGCACAACTTGAGGTCCACCACAGCCATGGCCGTCTCCCCCTTCCTTCTTCCTCCAGGCCAAGGCTATGGTGGACTACTAAGGGCCTTGCCCTGATGTGCAAAAGACAATGCAAAGCAGCTATGGCCTTCTCCTCTCAGGCGGCCATGCCTGACTCTGTGTCGAAGCTTATTGGTGTGGCTCTACCCCAACGGGGCCCTTCCAGATGCAGCGCCCACCAAGGTGATGAAGATGGCGTCCACCATAGCCAGCGAAGTACCCCTGGCGCTCCCCTCTCCTAGTGCCTTCTTCCTCCTCCTCCTACCCGAGCTCCTCCACCATAGCCAAGGTGGGGAGCTGAGCGCTCCTCTTCCCCACAGCGCTGCTCCAACCAGAGCGCTCCAGCAGCATGTTGCCAAACTTGCACGCAGCAAATGAGGAAGAGCTCATTGCTCTCCCTGGAGATATAGTGGCCAACTTGCCTCTTGGGCGGTAACTTCCAGCCCGCACGGCCTCCAAGCAACCGGTACCTCCTCCCTTTCGGAGGGAAACATTACTGCCAGCTCTGATATCGTCCGCACAGGCCCTAGACTTACTTGGACTGGTACCCACCTAGACCTAGCCTACTGCTACTGGGCCTCTAAAAATGCCAACTTTTGTCTTCTTCTGCTCGGCCTCCAGTCCCCGACACATCTACCGCTACTTGAGTGGTACCGGCCTACCTGCTACTTGAGTGTTTTTTTTTTTCCGCTGCTATAAGTGTCGCGGGCATACTCCCGCCACTTGAGTGTTTTCCCCGCTGCAACCCTCAAAGTCACGGCCACAGGTAAGTATCGGCCCTGCGGGGCCTCCCGAACAAACAAGTGCCCTTGCGGGTCACACACACACTCAGGCCGACAAGCACTCAGACAGGCACGCAGACCAGCAAACACGCTCACACACAAACTTAGAAAACTCAGCAAAAACCGGGAATCTCAGCAAGGCATTCATTCCAGCGGCAAAACTCAGAAATCGGCAGTTTTTTTTTTTTTTTTTTTCTCTTTCTTTTTTTCTGAGTCTGTAATTCTGCGGGTTATTACATCAGAGTATTTTGGTCCCTGAGTCCCTCTGATTCACATGCAGCCCTGTTGCATAGGTGATTGTGGACAAAGGAAGAGCAATAGCATTCTAGTGCAAACCACAGGGTCTCCACCCAATGAACTGGAAAGCAGATGGCATGGCTCCACCATACAGGACATGCAGCACTCCCAGCGTGAGAAGAGATAAATTAAACTCCCAACACACCTCTTGATACTGTCAGCAGCCCATCCCAGTCCGCAAAATTGGTCTCGACCAGCAACCAGGCCGCCAGAGCTGCTCAAGATCTCCTAATCGGCCTACTCTCTGTCCCAGTACCGTTTCGCTTTATGCTTTTGTTTTCCGTGTACCCTTGTTTATCGCCAACTTTGTTTCAAACCTGTCTGAATCCCCTCAAAGAGCAGCATAAGACCAGGGAGGGCCGAAAAAGAACCCAGGACCTCACCCAAAAGAGAGAATTGCCAGGTCCTAATACCTCTCCTTCCCTCCTGTCTCTTGCACCTTGATTCATGGATCGTCAGAGGTGCAATCCTAACAATGTGTGTCAAAGTTCAGATTTGGAGAAGATCCTGAAATACTGAGTGCAAGACGAGAGAGGGCGCAACTGATTTTTGAAATACTGAGGAAAGCATGCAGAGAACGACTACATACTTACTTGTAGACTTTCATCAGGCAGGTAAACTTCGACCGGAATACTCTCCATTCTCTGAAGTATGAAACAAGGATATACACAACAGATTGTCAACGCGGATCAGATGGGCTGTAGGAGAGGTTTCTAGTGGGAAAAACAAAACGAGGACCAGTCCGGTTGGTTACAACTTATAACTTGTTAAGTCGTTCAACCTAATCAAGTGCTTAACAGTTCATGCTGCAACTGTAGTAGGGCATTAGTTGGAGGATTCCTGGAAACTCACCCAGTAGTCTGACTTGAGCGTCCGCCATTTTCAACGGCAAAAGAAGATCATAGCCGCATTCAAGATACCCGTGGTATACCTTTCTCGGCCTTTTGGCTAAGATCAAGTGTAGTATCTGTTCTGAATCTTCTGATCAGTTTAATATCTGATCCGTGGTCCATTGGACCACACGATATTAAATTAATTTTTATGGGCCAAAAAAATAGAAAAAAAGGAAAGAAAAAAAAAGATGTTTGTGGTAAATCGACGTCTGTCAGGGTGCATACAGTGGCCATTGCCAAATGCAGCGGTTCGGCAAAAGAGGCTGGGAAGGATTGGGAGTTTGAATCCCTCAATCACATGCATGCCCGATTGCACGGTTCCGGGAAGTTCAGATATGAGCACCTCACCTCCACAGCATCAATCTCTTCTTTGTCAGGCGCAACCTTTCGGGTCCCAGATTGGATGACTTTCTTCAGACGTCTCAGAGCACAGGCAGCTATGGACATGATGTGTATGTAATCATCCTGTGTCTGGTCCTGGTATTGTGGATGCTCTTCAGTGGCCTGATCACCATCAAGCAAGACGTTTTACGGTACTGTAAATGTGGAGACCACAGACAAACAGTGTTTGGTTGGAGACTTCAAGAAATGAAATGCCATTTAAAGAGCAGCATCTGCAAAGATTGACCTTCTATTCCAAGTCCCCCTTTCTATGTGATGCTCTGCGTGATCTTGCCAATCTCTTAAACATCGTAAGAAAGTGGTGTCCTTCTCAAACACAAAGCTTTGAGTGTGACCACAGAAGGATAACAGCTGAAAGAGGACCGCTCCCACAGGGACAAATTGCATCCCACATTCGCAGTTTGACTCGTATATCTCAGAGATTGCCCAAGATCCACTGACCATTAAACTCACCAGTACCTTTCCAATGTTCCACCGGGCAACATCAAAACACCAAAATGAATCATTCCATGAGTTTCGGGTGAACAGTGCTACCGGACCAAAAGGCTGGCTGCACCAGCCAAAAGGAGAAAAAAGTTGCTCTGGCGCTTCAACAAAGCTTGGCACACAGTTCTTTTTCGCCTCAGCAAAAAGACGCTCGGAGATAGTGGTGGGGGTTTAAGAGATACTGACCTAGATTACAAAGACCAAATGTCAGAATCTCTTGATCCATGCTAGTGGAATCTTGGTCATTTTGTGTACCTGGGCACGTCGTGCCCAGCACACGTCCGCCTGCCCAGCCGAGCAGGACTGCCAGGCAAGGTCCTGGTCTCCCCAGGGCTTCCTTGCTTTGGCCCACATTTGCCGGGTGGGTGGGACCATGGAGGTCTGACAGGATGGCCTAATTAACATTATCATAAATAGTTACTACTACTGTTCTCAGAGAAGTAAGAGTACTGGGGCAATGGCCAAAAACGATCTTCAGAATGGATACGGCAATTCAGGACTTGGAATTCGACCCAGCGGAATGGGCCTGGACACCAGGAAGAAGCAAAAACCTAAGTAGTAAGAACCAATGTATTCAACTATTCATCCATGAATATACAGTTAAACTAGGATACAATCTCCTAATTAAAACCAAGGATCCGGATCCCACAATCAAAAATAGATGGACAAAGTTGATTGGTCAGGAAGCCACCCAGATATCACAGATACCGTGGAAGAAGCTCAAATCAATCCGACCGGTCAAAATTAGAAGCCTCCAATGGCTTATCTCACATACGTAGCGTTACCTGTCAACCAATGGATGCATATCAGAAGAAGACATAATGACCCCAATAGCTCTGACCTGTGCGTAGCATTCTCGGGAAATGAACCTGAAGATATGATACACTGTTTAATAAGGCGCAGAGAAGCGACGGAATATTGGGCCAGGGCACCAGACCTCTGGGGTCCCTTTTCCCGACTCCCCTCCCCGAACACCCCATCCAACTCCTCCTATGGACTAACATTCCCGCTCATTTCCACAAGTCCGAAAAGATGTGGTTTGGGATGATCAGAAAAGTAACGCTCTGGTCTATAGGGAAGGAAAGGTGCAGCAGAACCATTGAAGGGCTATCAACACCAAGGGAGAAAGTTTGGGCAGAGACAAGGACACTAATTCAGACAGAGATTTTGTGCAAGTGGCAGAAGACAAGACACTCCATAACCGATGATGTGGATCAGCAGCAGAGAACAGTAGAGAAACGTACAAAGATATGGCTGGCAGGCGGCAAGGTAGCAGAAATAAAGGACTTCCACATGCGATGGAAGGATTGGCACAACTCAGAAGTGGGCCTGAGAAGACAGAGAATCCAGCAAGCTCCATCACAGGCCACATAAGTATCATAGCAAAAGGCTTTGAACTACAAGTGCGGACAAGTGTGAAGACTGGGGCTGTCCGTTCGCTTATCCCTTTCTTGTGGTTTCAGATAAATATGACGGGTCCTAGTTAGATAGACCTGTGAGGAAAGGTGGACGTAAGGCAAGCTGGCAGTCAATCCTCCATACTGTTGGAGTAAACAATGCTGATCAGGGATCCTTCGGCCAGATGGAAGGACGCATAAGTCTGTTGATATTGTTAATTTTTGACTTGCCGGCAGGGTTGTTTTGGCGCCTACCGCCTACACCTACCGTAGGCGGTAGGCGCGCCTACCAGTCGGGCCGACCCGTAGGCGGACCCGTTGGCGGTTGGCAGACAGCCTAAATTTTGTTTATTTTTTTTTCTGATTACATGGTTGTGTGCGGCTTTAGGAGAGCAGCTGCGCAATAATTTTTTTGGGGGGTGNCAGCTGCGGCGCGGCGCGGCACGACCGGGGAAAAAAAAAAAAAAAGAAGAAGACAAAACTGCCTGTTTCGAACAGGCACCATGTGTATAACGCGGGCCACTGTTATTATTGCCGTTGTGAACTACGGTCGGGCCCATTCAAAACGTGGGTTGTGACCCACGAGCCATTGCCCCTTCTTTTTTTTTTCACGACCGCAGACCACGATCTTGACCGCGGGGGATTCATAGGCCAGGGGCCCGGCTGTAATCTGTGCGGTCATCTGGGTAGACCGTAATCGGTCCAGGTTCGAAAAGCGGCCCTGCTCAGACAAGGAATTGAAGACAGCTATCAAGAAAGGCCCTGCTCAGGCAAGCAATCATGGTGGACTGGCGAAGAAGGGCCAGGGAAGGAAAAGTCTGTCGACGTCTTCTCTGGTGGTTTTTGAGGACCTGGGCCATGGTCAATGAACCAGGGCATCTCGATTCGGGGTTCAGACCGCAGTAGGTCAAACTGGGGAGGAGGGTGGTAGATTGCCAGGACTGCGAGGAACTCTGTTCCAATCAGTCAGGATTAGGCCGGTGCTAGGCCTGTGAAGGTAAGAGAGTAGGTAGATAAGTTGGCAAGTAGGCAGGTAGGTAGCTGGGTTAGGCAGGGTAGGAGAGGAGTTTTGTGGACAGAAGCTGTTAATTTAGGGGGAGGAAGATATGTATATTTGCTGTAAAATTTCAATTTGGTTAAGGTTGTTAGGACGTTCAGATACTTGGCAGAGCTTTTTGGAAGAACAAGGAGTAAGGTCAAAGAGACAGCCCTGAAAGGCTAGTTTGTTACCACAAAGCTAAACAGGTTGAGGGCCTCGCCACACCACTCTTGAAACTGCGTTTTCAAGAGTTGGACGCGTCGCCACACAGCCACTTGAGAGTTGTGGCCCGAAAACTCTTTCGAGAGTTGTCAGAACCTCGTTTCAAGAGTAGCACTCGAAACTCCGAAACGCCCAGCCTGCAGCACCGCTCTTTTCAAGCGTCCTCCCGAGAGCACTCAAAGGGCCTTTGTTTTCGAGAGGTGTCAGGCCGTTATCCTGACTCCATTCTGAAAAAACAAAGCTATATGACTGTCGTTTTTCGTCGGTGGTCCAACATCATCGCCCTTTCGAGAGTGCTGTGTGGCGAGGGCCCCGAAACTCTTGAAAACCCAACTACTGATCTTGAGAACGTCTGACAGCTCTTGAAAATTTTCCCCGTTTCAAGAGTGGTGTGGCGAGGCCCTGACGCTGCCGGGATAACTCCGGGTTGAATTGTGAGGTCGCCGGCCTCCCCTGATTCGTTGTAAAATCTAAGAGAGTAGTGAGTTAAAAAAAAAAAAAAGGGGTAACTTCGGCGCAGTCACCAAAACAGTTTGTAATTGCACTTCAGGCAATCCCGCGAATACAACACACCCCCACGCGACCCCACCCGACCCGAAACGTAGGTCATATACATTCAGCATTACCGGCCCTTTTGCCTCAAGCGCAATTACAAACTCAAACCCTGACTGTGCCGTAGTTTTCTCAAAAAAAAAAGGTGGAATCAGTCAGGAGGAAATGGAGATCCGTTCGTCTCATTGGCTGAGAGAAAGTTTGGCTACACAGGATCTACTAGAAATAAGAGGGTCGCCACACAGGCTGTCGAAAGTCGAAAATTTTCGACAGGTGTGAGTACATTTTCGACAGTCCGGCCGTCGACAATTTCCCCCCCTATCGCCACACATCCTGTCGAGGGGGCGAGGTTCTCGAAAGTTGGCAAGTCGAAGCCGCCTTTCGACAGGTGCTGTGTGGCGAAGGCGGTCGTTGTTAAATGGATGAATTTGTGCGCGGATCGTTTTTCAACAGCAACTGTTGATTACATACCGACAAACCGGCCACGGCTGTCAGGGAGCATTCCCTGACAACGCAAATTCGAACGCAATTTTCGAAAGCCCGGCCGGGCACTGTCGAATTTTTTTCACCTGCAGGCGGGAGGAAACCGTTGCTGGGGGGCGGCTGTCGAAAGGACCATTCTGACACCTGTCGAAAGTTTTCTGAGCCGCAATTCTTCGAAAGTCTGTGTGGCTATGCAAAATTGTAGAAAACAGGGTTTTCGACAGCCTGTGTGGTGAGCCTCTAAAACGGCCTCTGGTATTTTCGGGGCATAGACGCGAATCTATGCTAGTCGGCCAAGGCCCCTGACTCTGTGTAACAGGTCCAAGATTATTTTAAAAAAAAGGGGTAACTTCAGTAGAGTCACAAAAACGAGTTGTAATTGCACTATCATAATGGGGCAAGATACAGTTTGCAGTTGCACTTCGGGCACCCAACCTGGCCAGAAAACTGGGTTGTATACAGTGCCGGAACTGCGATTCGAAACTGTATCTTGGCCCGCAGTGCAATTAGAACTCACTTTTGTGGCTCTGGCGGAGTTTCCATGCCCCCCCAAAAAAAAAAAACAAAAAAAAAAACAGGTTCAAGCTATCCGACAGCAGAAAGTGTGTTCCCCCCTCCCCCCTCCTTTTCTTTTTCACCCTTTTTCTTATATTATTAGGGCCCAGTGCCCAAGGCAAAAGACAATGTCCAAAGTTACAGATTCAGGGCCCGCAAGGCCTCCAAACCCACTTCGTCCGGTGGACCCCCTCCCCTGTACAAATTGTTTTTTTTTTTTTTTCTGAAAAAAAATCAATTCATTGCGAATTCAGATAAGAAGAGGCCGGGGACCTCACAATTCAACCCGGTAGTGGCTCTGGCAGCTTCAGCCAGTTTAGCTTATAACAATCAACTTTTAATCCATCAACCAACCTTAACAGCTAATCTAACTGTAGAACCTGTACAAATTGTCAGGCAGATGGAAAAATGCACTTGTTGAGGCAAAAAAAAAAGAAGAAAAAAAAGCCTTAGATAAGTAGTAGAGTAGATAAATCTCATGCACCATGCAAGCCCTGTGAAACACAAAAGCCTTAGGGCTGGAAATGGTGAATCTGTATAGCCTGGGTGTCGGGGGGTCCAGTGGGGTCACGTGGGGTCCAGTGGGGTCACATGGGGATGTGTTGTGTTCGCGGAATTGCCTGAAGTGCATTTTCAAATTGTTTTCGTGTGTAAGGTTCCCCCTAACTGTACATAGACTAGAGAGAGGATGAGACAGATGCATACTACCAAGAAGATGAGATAAATGAGAAAAGAATATAGCTTACTTTGAAAAAAAAAAAAAAAAAAAGTTTTGCGGGGTGCCTACCGGTCGGCGCCGACGGCGCCTACCGTCGGCTGGGTCCAGGGCCGCCGACCATCGGCGTGACTACCCTGCTTGCCGGTGGAATAGGAAATGGACTGACGCTCCCCAGAATGGATATGGACTCATGGAGCCAGGGCCATAAGGACCTGTTTTGTTTTAAAAAAAAAAAGAAAAAAAGTAATTACTACTGTTATCACAGTTGGAAGCAGCAGCACATGCAGCAGGGGAGTGACAGCTCTAGATGATTGTTGTAGAGGAGTAATGACAATTGCACCTTTTCAAGATGGGCTTCCAAAACACGCTGGAACCCGATGCTGGGCGAAAATATGCCAGCACAAAGTGCCATGGCCTGCCACCCTGTGGCCGCCTTTAACCTTTGGACATTCAAATATGACATCATCATAGCCACCCAGAACAAACACCACCATGAGAGAAAAATAACAGAACAATTAGGAAAGTGATGGAACGAATCAGTAGATTCAACACTAAGAAAAAAGGTCATTCACTTCTGAAACAAACCTTCCAGTTTTCTTACTCAGCAATTCCAAAAGAGAAGCAGCAAAAGGCGCAAAGTTGAAAAGAATCAGCAGATTTGACCTAGGCTATACTGTTTTTCCGGGCGCCCAAGAACCCAACTTGTGCCCTGATACACGCCCGGGTGCCCGGCCGGGTATGAACATAGTTGACCTTACTAGAGGCCGGCAGGGATTTTCCTGCAAGTTGGTTCGGCCTGGAAGTGTCTGGTAGCTGTCTGGTAGGTAATATTGGTCCAGGGCCTGAATGTAGGCCAGTAAAAGTCCAGATTCAGGGTCTTTAGGTAGATATATCAGTCTGCAATTCTGTTCCTACCAAAAACAGGAACATCCGGTAGGCCTAGTGCACTCGAGGAAGGCCGGGTCGTGGTAGGAAGTGCCCGGCCAAGAGATACTGGAGGTTGGGCAGGTAAAAGTATATTGTTTGGGGCAATGAGTATTCCACTCATTCACCCGGCAGTCATGTCGCTGCTCCACCCAGAGGGAGAGGTTGGATGAGCTCCTAGAGGTTGAAGGTGGAGCTGGAGGGTGAAGGAGAAGACCTCACATGGCTATGGAGTAGTAGTAGGGAGAGGTAGGAGAAGCCCTAGGCTATTGTGGCAGAGAGAGAAACCCCTGACCGGGCTATGGTGCTAGATAGACGTTGAAGGAGAAGGATGGAGGTGGGAACCGGTAAGGAGACTCACCTTTGGCTATGGTGGGCTGGCGTCTTCATCTTCTTGGTAGGTGCTGCATCAACAATTGCCCCTGTAGGGTTACCGTTTGGACATGGGCATCATCTGAAAGATAGGCATGGCGATAGATAAGAGTGGACAACATGAGAGTAGTTGCATTGTCCTTTGGACATCCAAGGTAGCTCTGATGTTCCGCCATAGCTAGTAGCCATACCAAGTAGGGAAGAGAGGGGAAGTGAGCTAAAGGAGGGTTCTCTCTAATCTGGCTGTAAGGGGGATTGATCGGACATTGATTATGTTCATTCATTAATTGTTGTTGTTATCTATTATAGATAATTCATTGCAGGTGATGAAGAGGGAGAGAGGATGATGGTGAGATAGGGAAGGAGATGACATTGGTTTCAACTTGGGTGCTTTTTTCTTCTCTCCTTCATTCATCTTCATTCCTAGACTCCTTGTTCTTCTATTTGAGTTGTGATGAATGGCCTTGTCTCATCTTTGAATTTTGAATTACGAAATGGGCAGGATCATAGCAAAAGGGGAAAAAAAAAAGAAAAGAAAAAAAAGCAGCATAGCAAAAGGGTAGTTCAAACGAAAAACAATGAAGATGTGGCAAAATAAGCGAAACACTTAACATAATTTATGGGGGCAGGACCATGACCACTCCATGTGCATCCATGCATTTGGATATGGTGTAAGAGAGGTGGGACTCAAAGATTGTGTATGTGCGGCTGTGGGAATGAGATGGAGGAGGAAGCGAAGACTGTGACAGCACAAGCAAGGCATGTGCATAAGTGCAACAGACAAAGTGGGAGGTTGAGAGCGTAGGGGCCTGTGAGAGTGAGAGGAAGAGATGACGATGAATACACTTTCTGACATAGATGAACGCATGCATACAACTATCTGGAGTGGCAGGAACAAGCACAACATGCACACAAAGACACATAGAGTATTATAGACAGACACACAAACATCATTCACTGGTACCTGTCAGGATGATCAGTTGTTTGCTTGCATATTTGACAGAAGATCTCATCTCGGACATCCACATCTGCAATCCCAATCTTCAGAATCTCCCGTATGTGAAAGATAGGACTTTTGTTTGTGGTCAAGTCACCCATGAATGACATCAAATCTGAGACAATACCCTCCCCCACCCCATACTGTCAAGGAGAATGCACATGAAGAAGCTCTCGTATGTGAAAGATAAGATCTTTCATTAGCAACACGCCCATAGATGGCATGAAATCTAGTATGAAACCCTTCCCGGAGCCTTATTCGCAAGGAGAATGAACCTCATGAAATTGTACATAATAGATGCATTTCACTTGAGGTACCACAATGCAGTCTTCTCTTCCTCCTGTCTCTTATACACATCTAGATGTCTGCTTGTGAACAGTATTTCCCCCCCTACGTTGAT